ACAGTTAACAAATTCATGAGTGTTCTGAAAGAGGGGAGTCAGTACCAGTGACCAACCAGTTCTGTAACAGCCACATTGGTTTGTTGGCCTTGTATGAGGGAGTAAATTTACAGCAATAAAAAAGAAGTAGGTATTTTCAAAGATTAATGATGGAATTTGTTTTTCTAAGGTGCACTGGTTGCCAAAGTGGACAATTTAAAGCATCATAGTCCTGTACTTGCACATTTTACTAAGCCTTAGTCAAAGACAGGTTACAGATGTGGAGGGACTTATGTTCTCACATAGGATGGTGGTTCTTACGTATTGATATCTCTGTGTGTCTGTATATATACATGCACATATAGTGTCATATGTATTCTCTGTATGGTATGTTGTGTGTGTACTCCTACTACAGTGATTTCTTTTTTGCAGACCTTATGGAAGACAGTGCGGCCTTTTGGGGTATGGTAAGCTGCTTGTTTAAAAATAAACCCCCTCTGTTAGGGTAAGTGAAATAATATTTTCTCAGCAGTGTGGAACAAAGGAGTTCGAATATAGCTTAAGGAAACTTAATGATATATTAACAAACTTAGCTCTTAGCAAATGTACTAATGGGGGGTGGGAAAGGAAGGAATGTCTTGTCATTCTCTTCAGGTGGACTAGTTCCTGTTAGAGAACCAGCAACAGATGTGCCAAATGCTTAGTGACACTCAAGGAAATCTCTTCATTTGCTCGGTTTAGTGCTAAATGAAGTTTCACATTGAGTGAGACTGTGCAGTGCTGTACTGGCTGTTCCTGATGGACCTCCTGCAGTGCTGTGAAAATCAAAGGGCTTTACTGACACATTGGCTTCTTTCAAGCTTTGTCTCTGAGAGGTGCTCATTGGGAAACCCACAGATATGAGCCCTTATGCCAGCTCACAGGAGTTGGTCTTGGTTGCAGCTCACATGGAATTACTAATTGGGGTGAGAACCCACAGCAAAACTTAATAACACACTTGACTAGGAGTTCAAGCATGTCTCTGAAAAGTATCTGCTTACTGATTCAAGGCTCTGCCTTGCAAACACATACCCAGGTGAGTAAATAGGGCTAAATAGGCAAGTAAAACCATGAATGAGTTCATGAGAATGAGGAAAATTCAAATATTGTCACACAGTTCAAAAAGGGCAAGAGGAAAGGGTGTATATGTGGAAGTGGGAGACAAGGAAAAATTCTTCCTGAGAATGTCACTGGGGTCAAAGACCATTGCAAGGATGCTGACCTTCACAACCCAGGTGAAGCTGGGAGGGAGTGGACAGAAGTAGTACTTAGGAATTCTGGAAGACCTGGTTTCCACAACACTTCTTGCATGTACTGAATGCCTTGATAGATTCTTCAGGAGTTTTTTTCTCATTCATCACAGATAAATCTCCAATACAGTTGCTGCTGAAACTGTCCTTGCTGGATGCTCTCTTCTACTTCTTGCCAAATCTTAAATTGTGTTAACTTTACCCTCAACTTCGAAGGGAGAAGTAACTTTTGCCCAGGTGGAATATGCCCTTCTTAATCTCATTCTTCAATTTTTTCACTGTTCTGTTGTTCTTTAGAGGTCTCTGCCCAGGCATCTGGCTTTTAGTAGACTTCCTCCTGTTTTCTCCTCAGTTCCTCTCCTGCATTAACAGGCAGAAGCTCAGTTACTACCTCCACTTCAGACATGCCTCCTCTTCAAAAACTGTTTTGACATGGCTAACATGGAGCTGTTAAACGAAGAGCACTGATATCCCTTTCTTGTTCCCTATGCCACCATGTCCCGGCTTGCTCAAGCCATTGTCAGACTTGGATTTTTAACTCCTCCTGTCCAGTTTCTCAGATTTTTCTGCAGAGCTGCTAACGTGCAGGGTTTTTTAGCCAGGCTCTCATCTTACTGCACTCTTTCAGTGTTTTCTAAGCTTTACCAGATACAGCCTTGTACAGCTGATACCCATCTCCGACCTTTCTGCTGAGATGCTTTTCTACCCGTGTGGTTCCTCTGGCTTCTGTACCATCTCTCTGAGGGTCTTTTGGTGTGGTCCCATGGTGGGTGCTTGTACAGAAACCAGGCAGCCACAGGATAGTGGGCAGGCTCCCCACTTGAGTACTAAAGGGAACAGGGAAGGGTGTGAATGGCCAGCCCTGACAGTGGAGGATGGCCTCTGGGGGTCCCGCACGAGTCCCTGTGGCAAGGCAGCAGTGTGATGGCAGAGTTTGTTATCCACTGCTGAATTTGAGTTCATAGACAGCTGAAGAATGGCAACATCTTTTAAGCCTTGCTACAGCACTAAGATGACAATGATGTTGAATTGCAGATAAATGAACTGATGCATACGAAGGGACAGAAGGGAAGACTGGACTTCACTGCACTTCACTGGAAAGGATGGGCTGAGCTAACTGTCCTCTTAGGTTGAGGGCTTTGGAAAACCAAAGTAATTAATGTGACTCTTTGCTGGAGCTTGGCAACGGTCACCAAAGCAAGCTGAGCCCTGGGGAGGTTCTTAAGAAAAGGTTTACAAACAAAAAACATGATCTGTGGTTTGCTGTTTGAATGCCTTGTGTGTATATATGTATAAACGTATATATATCTCTAGGATGCCAACTTACAGCCTAGAACAGATTTGGAGGACTCAGAAGGGAGAGGTGGGTGGAGCAGACAGTGGGCTGGGGTTCTTCATCCTGGAACAGGGGGCTCCCACATGCCTCCTCCAGGAGGGTGACTGCTGTTCCCTGCTTCTGCAGTCACCCTGGTGGGCAGGAGGCAGTTTTACACAAGGCACGCAGCAGATCTTTGGATCCCTCATGCCAGGAGCAGACACTGCATCAGGCTCAGGAAGGCTGAGCAAACTCAGAGGGAGTTCACAGGGGTCTGCTGGTTGCTTGGGCCCTGTCTGGCTTGAGCACCAAATGGTTTCCCTGCCACATGCACTAGTATGTAGCTGTACACATGCACTTGCTCTGGCTTTGTACTTCCCTGGGAACTTGCTTTTGGCTGCTATTTTGGGATGATTTTCTGGGATAGATGAACATTAGTGACCCATTATGTCCCAGTTTGTTGAACTGAAGTGAGTTGTAGGGCTTGCTGCCTGCCTTTCACTGGCTCTTTGAAGGGAGAATTTCCTTGCTGCAGACTTGGTAGAGGCATTGCAGTGCAGTATGGTGGTTAAAGAGCCTCAAGTTAAATGTATGTTGTGCTTGTCTTTTAAAATGAGCAGTTAAACAGTCTGCCTGATCTGGCAATGGAAAAAAAACCCACAATTCTTCTAATCCCTGTCATTGGTTAAACAGTAAAAATTTTTGTTGAAGACATTAGGAAATATTATTTGAAAGGTAACAACGCTGCTTCAGTAGTTAACTGGTGCCGTACCTGGCTTGCCCAGCAAGAGGAACGCTTAGAATGAATTCAGGTGAATGACAACTACAGCCTGCTGAGACTGGAGGCCCTCCCGGTGTTGTTGTGGGACGGAGGTCAGCCTTGCTCCCTTGGAGTGAGCCTCTGGAGTAATTTCGAGTTGTCAGTGCTCTCCTGGGCATTGTTGTGTGATCAAACTGGTTGTTGCTGCGAGAATGGGAAGGGGCTGCATGCACGGGAGAGCCCCGTGGTGCCTGTACAGCAGCAAGCATCATACTAGCGACGTTCAGGCAGGAGTAACATGTAAATGAGCAGAGAGCCTAGGGATCCCTCCTTGGGGAGGAACAGTCAGTGTTCTCTGAGGTGATGAAATAGCAAGCCATAAACAAACAAGGCTCACTTTGACACTGTTAGGGACTGCAGCAGCTAAACATAGCCCCAGAGGCTTGACTCACTTGGCTTCTGCCCGTCAGATGACTGCTCTTGGGATCACTATAGAGTTACAAAGGTGAAATTCTTCAATCTGCGTCACACCAGAGCTCAGCCCAGAGTGCTGATGGTCTCCTCTGGACTCAAAAGTGCACATCCCGAAGAGTGGGTGCACAGTACTGAGCACCCAGGTCTGTCTAGCCCAGCTGCTTGCCCTTCCCAACACCATTCAAAGAGGATCCTACTTTTCAGCATCTGCTGCTCCATGCCAGCAGCAGCAAGCCTCAGCAGAGGCAAATTCTGCTCCTGGTATTTCTCCCTGAAGCCTGTGGCATGTGGGCAGAGGTATGCAGCAAAGGGGTAATGGTGACCTTTTTGTACCTTGCAATGGTAAAACAAAATAGCACAGTGCAGCTACTTTAGTCAGGATGGTTCCTGAACACAATTAAGGATCATTCTGTTTCTCAAACAGGGAGAAGCTTCAGAAACCTAATGTAAGAAATGGTTTGCTTAGTCATGCTATTTAGAGGTTAATTAAAGTTGCATTATTGTGACAGTCTCATCTTTTGATGGCTGTACCATGAGTAATACATTAGGTTTTATGAACATCAACTCTCTGAGGTGTTTTTAATGTTGCTTTTTGAATGAGACTGAGCCCAAAGTTCTGATTGCTTGTGGCTGCTTAATGATTCAGTTGCATATTACTGGAAGAATATGCAATGTGCTGGGTTACAGTGTCATCAGGAAATTACTCATATACAGTCTTGCTCCAGAGTGCTGGTCGAGATGCTTGTAACAGGAGAAGTGTAATGGACATTCGTGTTCACTCTTTGTCCTGTTGAGGCTATCAAATGTGTCTGGAACTGGCTGCATTTCTGTGTGGTTTTCTTTAATGTTGACAGAAACATGAAGTAGTCACTTCTAAATCTCTCTTAAAAGCAATTTAATCATGAGTGGAAGCAGAGGATTATGCTTTGCAGATGCAGGACTGTTAAATGTCTTAGGGTAAGTAGCTGATGCACAACTGGAAAGCAGCAAGTCACTCTGCTGCTGAGCTAAATTCATGTCACTTAAAAGACATGACTCTTTTAAAAAGGGTTAGAAATAACTCACTGCTTGACCATGTATTTTGAGGTCTGTTTCTCACATTTAATGTAGGGCCCTCTGGAAGCAGTCTGCAATGGGGATTATATGTTTGTACATGCAGCAGACAAAAAACAAACCAGTTCTTTTGTTTGTTTTCCTTCTTCTGCAGGGCAGATTCTGCATCCCACATGAACTACGAAAATCCTCCACCTTACCCTGGCCCGGGCCCAACTGCCCCTTACCCACCCTATGCACAGCAGCCGGGTGGTCCTCCTGGCCCGTATCCAGGCTATCCTCCCGGACCTACTGGGCCATACCAGCCAGGCCAGCCAGGCTATCAAGGATATCCCCAGTATGGATGGCAAAATGCACCTCCACCTCCAGGACCAGTGTATGCAGATGGGCCTAAAAACACAGGTATGCCTAGCAGCCATGGTGCGATATAACCATGACCCTTTCTGAATGCAAATGCATGAGTACATATTGACCTTGAAGTAATATGGTTACCAGCATCTGGCCCTCATGGGACTGGAGGAGGTGGATGCTTGTTTGAAGTAGTGATTCTGTTTATAGCCCGTTTTCCTGCTTTATTTTGCTGTTGTGTCTCTAACAGTTCCCTGACTGTTGGAAGATACTGCTGAGCATCCTTAATGCCAATCCCTCAAGGGAATCCTTATGCTGAGGTTGTTATACATGCTTTGTGCTGTCTTTAGATTTGCCACAACTCTCATTCTGCCTGTCTTTTGGTTGATAAGTTTCAACTGAAGGCTGCACAGTTGAAGTTTGTAATATTCAAATGTGCAGCTCCTACCGAATTAATGTGTATCAGCTTTCTTGAGCACATCAATATCTGTTCAGGTGATCTAATAGTGCCATTGGAATCATTCCTAGGCTCTTGTTTTTTCTGAAGCTGTTATTCTCTGGAAAAACACAGATTTCTGGGAAGGGAAGATGGTGTACCCTACCTTGGCAGCTGGCTGGTCTGTCTCTGTGCCACGTCCCTTCAGTATTGTATGCTGATTTACTCTGGCACTCCTGGGGCTCACTGCAGTGCTTGGTGCAGGCTTGAATTGTCAGAGGAGAGCTGAGAAGATGATTAAGGGACCAGAGCATCTTTACAAGGGGAAGCTGAGAGAGGTTGGGCTATTCAGCCTGGAGGAGAGAAGGCTCAGCTGGGTCTATCCATGTGTTTATACACGATGGGAGGGATGAAGAAGAGGGAGCTGAACTTTTCCCAGTAGCGTCCAGTGACAGGACTGGAGGCAGTGAGCACAAACTGAAACACAGGAGGTTCCTTTTGAACACAAGAAGACCTTTTCTACTATTACAGTGATCTAACCCTGGCACAGATTGCCTGGAGAGGGTGTGGAGTCTCCATCTGAGGAGATACTCAAAACCTGACTGGACAGGGGTCCTGGGCAGCCTGCTCTAGCTGACCCTGCTTGAGCAGAGGATTTGGACCAGATGATCTCCAGAGGTCCCTTACAACCTCAACAACTCTAGGATTCTGGCAAGGTTGGGTGTGGTCCCTCCCTTTTCTCCTCTGGAAATAGGAGGGTTTTAGCTTGGGGTTTTTTGGTAACTCTCTCTTGCTCATAAGGACACTTACCTAGAGACCAAGTTTATTCTTGTCAGTATTTCACAGGCTTTGGTTGTAAAATCTGTTTGTACATCATGAGGGTGTACTCACCCCTTCACCATCGGCATGGGGACTCATGCTGTCATGCCAACAACTCCAGTATCTTCTTTAAGGCTTCTTCAGTGATAGATACTCATCCAGGCTGGGAAGCCAGAAACCATTATCTCCTCTCTTTCTCTGTTGCAGTGAATATCACAAACAGACCTGAGCTGTTGAGAGGAATCTTAAGTATCTATAGATGTTCTGGCTGCCTTGGGGTAGCAGAGGATATGGCTGGAGGTACCAAAGGGGCTGTTCTGCGGGAGATGTGGGGAGCACTTCTGTAAGGTCCTCTCCAGGCACTGTGCTTTAGGTTGGAGCTAATCTCAGGAAGAGAACGTGACTGGTATGGTCATGGACAGACTAACCAGGGGAGGAAAGGAATGAGACTAACGTGGACCTCAAATCAAAACCTGTGTCAGTGCCTTATAGCTATGCAAGGGACTAGCACTTCAGGTACTACTGCTGTAAAGACCAGCTGCCAAAGTGGGTATCGAAGCTAACGTCACTTGGAAAATTGTCAGGACTCAGACAAAAAGCTTTTCCTTTTTCTTGATTCTCCTCCTCTTAAACAGCCCTGCTTCGTTTTGGCCAGTCCATCAAACTGGAACCTGATCTTTGTCCTGTGACAAGTCTTCTGAGAGCGCTTTCAATGAAGCTTTGTTTAATGATCACCTCCAGGACTGGCTAATATAGAATGGATTTCCCTAATAAAGCTGATTTTTAAAAACATGTTATCCTATTGCTGTATATCTGAGGCTGTGGCTGAACCTCTAATAGAAAAAATTGATGTCTAAATTTAATCAAGTCATTACAGTCTACCTAGCTGGTCTGGCATGATTGAATGTGGCTTCTCAGTTCTTGTGGTGTTTCCAAGCAGTTACCTGGGAAGAGCTACTGTGTGGATGCTTTCCTTTCAGAGTGGATGTTTTGCTCTCCTAGATGACTTTTGGTTAATCTAATGAATTAGGCTGTTCTAAGTAATACATTAGTATTTCTGAACAAGTGTCCACATTGAAAACTAGGAAATTTGCTATATCTTTAAATTTCATACTTTAAATTATTTTACTGTGTAGGCAAACCGCAGAGTGGGCTCTCACGTTGTGGATCATAGCTGATGTGCTAATGTGTGGAAGTAATTATGCATCATATTTTGGTCTTGAGTGGATCACACAGATGGAAATAATTACTGTTGAGCTCTCAATCTGATGGTAAAGTAGCATTTCATAGTGATAGTGTTTTTTAACAATTTGTGGCCTGTCTGGAATAGCAATGGACATAGCCTGTCCCATTGACCCTTGGAGAAGAAAGAAAACTCATGTCTTGCTCTGTATTAAAAAGAAAGCTGCATATGATATGTAATGGAAACAGCTTAAACTTAGTACTGGTTTTGTCACCCACGCTGCAGAAGAACTTGTGAACCTCTGAGCCTTGATTCAGAGGCTGCTGTTGAAGGACTCTTCAGGCTGAGTATGTGCTGTGGCCATGCTTCTACCCAGCTGCAGAACCCCTTCTGTGTCCTCAGGAGGTGGGAGCTGTGAGCCCACACTGGAGGGTTTGGTCTCTCTTGTTGGGGTCATGCTTGGCAAGAGTGGGTAACATCTATACTGGAAAGAGGAAGTTATTCCTGTTAAGTGAGCAATGGCTCTTCTTAGAGATAGGTGAGAAAGGAGGATGTTGTTGTCTTTTCAGTATGACATTGAATAGAGACACATATACAAAAGGCTATACAAAAGGTGCAGCCCAGAACAGCACTTTACAAGGAGAGCAAGCACTGTTGTGTAGGATTAGTTAGCCATGATGACGGTTTAAGTTGTAGCAATCAGCTTGTGTTTTAGGCATTAAGATTTAGTGGTGTTGGCCCTGTGACTCCCATGTGTTACAGCACTGTAGAAGAGGGAGACTGCATCTGATAATGGCAACTGTTGGTCCTTTGTCCCTTCTTCCCAAATGGATGGAGTCCAGTGTGTGCAAGCTTGCACACCCTCAGTCACCCTAGTTACCTCAACACTGTTGGGTGGGAAAGGCCGTGAAGCATGTTTCTTCTCCAGATGGAGGAACAGTGGGCCAGAGAGGGTAGGTGGCTTGTTGAGGTGGCACAGAAGACCTCATGGCCATGGATTTGGTTTTTTGGATTTTTTTATAGCTGGCTTTTGGGCTTGTACAGTCTACCAACAGCAAAGTCTCCAAAGAAACAGTGCTTCTTGCATTTTGCAAGGGCTAATAACTGACTTGGCTGTTGTTCATTAGAAGTAAACAACTTGACCTTTACCTTTAGAGCTGATAATTCATATGCTAAACCTGAGGGATGTTATTCTTAAGGGTATCTGATCCCATTTCCTAGGGCTGTGAACTGATTTGTGCTGATTTCCATCTACATCTTTCCTGCTATAAAATCTGAGGGCTGTCTTCATGTCTGTCCACACAAAATCTGTCCAGGCCTGAGTTCCTGCAACACTGTGGATCTACCAATGCTTTGGGTAGCTGGACGGAACTCACCTGCACCAGAGCAAAGCTGGGAAATACACAGCAGTAGGAGCACAGTGCCACTGTGGAGCATGGCGTAAGGACCAGGGGCTTTCTTAAGAGGAAGGAAATATCTCATTTCTGCAACAGTGTTTTCATTATAGAATAATTTGGTATCAACTAGCATAAGGAAGCCACAGTATCTGCTGACTGGTCAGCAGGTACTTTCTTGTCTATGTAAATTACAGTGAAATGTAGTGCTGTTGATAATGGCATGTTTTAAAAAGAAGTAGAATGACCCAAAGTACAAAGTGACATACTAATTTTGAAAGCACTGGGTGATGTTAGCAATTTGTTCAACTTAATTTCACCCCCCCACCTGCCCCACTGATACATAACAACATAATGGATGAGGCTATTCCATGCTGTGCCAAAGGGAAGCAGGCTCCGTCAGCAGCCTTCCTTCCAGAGGCAGGCAAAGCTCAGTATTGCATTTGACCTATTGTGTGCACGAGGTGGAAATCTTATTTCTGGAAGCTGATTACTTGTAGCAAAGCCGGCTGTGATAAGAGTAATAGTCACAGTGATGCTGCCTGCCTCCTAATGTTTGGCCAGCTGTGAGAATAAACAGGTCACCTAGATACAGTCCCTGCCTTCTGCTCTAGGGATTTTTCTTCATTACCAGTCTCTGTGTGGAAAGAAGGGGACCCTAATCGCTCTGATTAGGCTCTCTGGTGCCTTTCAGGAGTACCCTTTTGCTTCTCAAACCGTGTTGAGCTGAGCCTTCCCCAGTAGAATTTTATTTGGAGGGCAGCATGTGGCAATTCCAAGCAGGCTTTCTCTCTGTATAATGACCCTTTCCAAGCAGTGTGTGGGAGCATTTAGTTTAACTGTTACTGTACCTTCAGGACCTGCAACTCCTGACATCTGGTGTCCTGCCATAAAAAAAAAAAAAATCTTACTTGGCAGTTATCATCTTACCTGCTTCTCATACTGAAGCATGCATTAAAACCTGATGTTCTCTGTCCCTCAGGATTGCTGCATCATACCTCCCTCTGTCCCTGGCTCATGTCAGCTGACTGCACAAACCATGGGGGCTGTTTGCTGGCAAACAGTGCTGTCCTGGGGCTGATGTCTGACCTCACCTTTGCTGCTTTTCACCCTGAAGGAGGGGATAATCTGAGAAGGGCTTCATGCAAAGAAAAGGATTTTCAAATTCGGGTCCTGTATCTGAAAACATGCTTCCAATAGACTGGCTAAATAAGGTTAAGGC